TAACAAGACCAAAAACAACAGTTATCGGTGAAAGTAGGGGAGTGAGGACTTAAGAAGTTCAGAAGAAGAAAGAAGGGTGGCTAGCCAAGAATTCTTTTCAAAACTCTTTCACGGCAATTTCGCCAATCTTTTCTTCTCCATCCCCTCCCCTCCCCCGCCCCTTTCCAGCATATATCTCCCTCGATATGGTCCCCCCTTATTACATGTCTCGTGCTCTATGGCAGGAGCATCCAATTAAGGGGAGTCCCAAGGATTCGGTAAATAGTTTCTAAAGTGGGTAGCTAGCAAAAAAAAATACCAAAAAAAAATAAAATAAAGCAAAGAAAAGGATAAAAGATACTCCAAGACTTTGGTGTTTAATATATTGATTTTTTTTGTTGTTTCTTTAAAACTAGTGTGGAAAATATTTATGATATTTTGAATAAGAAAGACAACTTTTTGGGATAATTATTTGAAGAGTATATTGTATTATTTATGCAACAAAATATGCTATTTTAAAAATGGATTTTAAGAGTCTTTTTATATAACTGTTTTCTTTAATTCTAGACTAAAATTCTACTTTATATTTTGTACTTAAAATTCACCTTGAATTTAAATTATTTTTTCCTTAGATTTTATGAAACTTTACTCTTTTTCTAAAATTTTTGCAATTTTATTTATTTTAGAGGTATTTTTATCTCTAAAACTATAAAAGTAAAAAATAACCCCGAAAGTAAGCACCATGTAGTAAAACTATTATAAAAAATAAAGTGCATTTAAAAGTCAGCTAGTAAAATATAACAAAAATGTACCAAAAAATACCAAACAATAAAGTTACCAAAACTCAAAACCCCTTACCATTTCAAACCTTTAAAAAAAACCTTATTATTGTTCTCTCTAGGGCCCCAAAACTTTAATATCCACCCTCGTCTGAAAAGCCTTTGCCAGTGACCTACTTACGGGGAAAAAAAAGAATAAAAACGGCTGACGGGGCGCATTGGAAATAAAAAGCCAGGAGGGGGGATGAGACCGTCTGCAGAGCCGACTTTGGGGGCTTTTTTTGGTCCCCCTGGTAAACCGTAAACCATAGACCGTAAAGCGACAACGTAGTAGTCCATAGACCGTGGTCTCGGGCACATCCCGGGCATTTGCCGGAATAATGGTTGGATATTCTGCTTTCCCAGCCTCCTGCCTTTTTGTTTTTTTTTTTGTTGAGAGAGGAAAAGGCCAAAAGCTAAAAAGTCGCGTCACAAGGCGACAATAATTGGCGCAAGGTGGCCAAGTCAAGGAGAAACACGCACACACTCGCACACACGCACACTTACACACCTCATATCCTTTAAAAAGGACTAGAGCTTTCTAAAAACTAGAGTGAACGGAAAACTGAAAACCAGAACAGAGATGGGGCAGGAGATGAACATTCAGCTGCTTGGTTGAGTGACAGGGACGGAGATAACAATCAACAAAAGGACAAAAAAAACACACACACATACTTACACACACACTTATGTAGTAAGCAGAGGAAACAGCGACGCCAGCGTTGACTGCAACCGAAATCAAAATCAAAATCGCAAAAAAAATGAGAATCGCAAAATGCAAAATGTAAAACGCCGCAAATTGCTTGTACAACACTAGCAACAGCAACAACAACAATCAACATCAAAAACAACAACTAGAACAACAATTACAAAAACAAAAACAAATTCTTGGTGTTAGTATATTTAAGACGAATATTAAATGCACTTTTATAATAACTATATATTTTTGAGAATTTTTAAAATAGGTTTTGTCTTATAGTCTTTTTTTAGGAGTAATTCTTAAAATTCTTTAATTTTCTTAAATTTTTCTTTAAAAGTTTACTTTAACCAAACAAAAATTAAGGAAAAAGATAAAGAAAAGGCGGAAAAAGTATTCTATCTATCTCAACTAGTGTTTTTTTTTGTTTAGATTTATTCTATTATTATTTTACTCTTTTTTTTTTTACTCAAATTTAACTTTTGTGTATGTCTAAAAACTTTTAAAAGTATCTTACGCATTTTTAAGCATATATTAAATACATAAAAACACATTTTTTGAGTACATTGAATCATAAAATCATAAACAGCAATGCCTAAAAACAATATATTAGTTTCTGAAGAAAATTTATTAATGAAAAACAAATTTTGTGTAATGTAAATCTTTTATGAAGAAGAAAAATTCACCTAAAAAAAGTATGTTTTTACTAAAAAGTCTATTACAAAATTTACTAATTTAATTAATTATTAAATTTCTTACATTTTTGTCAAAATTTTTTTAAATATATTTGTTTCATTTTATTCGTTCGTTCGATTTTTAATTATTTTTAAAGGTTTTTTTACTTTTTCTCCTCTTTTTTTCTATTTTGAACTAAGGTCTGTTTAAATATTTCTGTTGATTTTTATTTTTATATTTCATTAATATTTATATTGAATTTAATTTTTTTTTTAATAATTAACATTTTTCTGTTTAAATTTTCTGAAAATATCAAAAGGCTTAATTTTTGTGCTTCTTATAAAGGTTAGAGTATAGAGAGGAAAGGGAAGAGGAAAAAGGAAAGGAAAAGGGAAAAGGAAGCTGCATCTAGGTGGCGCTCTTACACACACAATCAGACACACATACAGAGCCAAACACACACACACAGTTGAGAAAACAGGGTGAAGGACAATGCGTGCATAACGCTTATTGAAATAGTTCTCAAGTGAGTTCGACGCTGGCGACGACGTCGTCGTTCTCATCGTCAACATGGGCTTGCCAAATGGGCCGCAAAGTGGGTGGCTGGAGGGAGGGAGTGAGGAAGAGGACTGGCCAACAAAGAGGGCTAGAAAGGGCTAAGGGAAGGGGATATGTTGCAGCATTGCAGTTCAAAAAAAGGAGGCTGCACCAACCGGTTAAGACAGCTGATATTTGCAGGCAGTCTGGGTATTACACGACTATATCCCTGTCGTGTTTTGTCTCCCTACCCTTACCCCCCTACCCTACCCTACCCTTGAGACCATCCTTTGGACTTTCTTCTTGTGGCGTATCCTGGCTGCCAGTAACCGTGATTGTCAATACGCAATCCGTAATCCGACGAAGGCTTAGGAAACCAAAAGCAGATAAGCAGGCAGCTTACTAGACCGACTACTGACTTCCAGCTGCCAAGTTTTTGCTGTTGGTTGTTGGGGAGGGGGAAGGGCTAAGGGGGCAGGGGGAGAAGCCTAGGGATACACCTGGGATAATACAGAAAAATTATCGGTTTTTTTTTAAAGGGTTTTTATTTATTATTTCTTTTATTTTATTTATTTTTTAAAACTTATTCAAGTTGAAGAAGATCCATATTTCTTTCAAGTAGTATTTAGTATTTATTTGGTATATTATTAATATTATTTGTTATATATGTATATTGTAGTATTTCTTGGTTTAGTATTTAATAATATTTTTTCTTTAAAAAGAAAGTAGTTATTAAATGCTTTTAATTAAATTTAAGTGCTATATTTATATTAAATTCATTTTAAATCTGGTAGGCTAACGATCTTAGCTTAATTTACCCACTAAATACTATTAGCTATTTATTAGTTTTTAAGTAAGAATAACCTGTTATACTTTATAAATTTTAGCAGGAAAATTATTTCATATTTTCGCGACTATTTTCACGGTTTTTATTGAATTTTTTAACTTTATTCTTGTCTATTTTTGTAATATTTTCACAAAAAAGAAAGAATAATGCTTAAAATCGGTAGGACCTTGTATTGGGTCCCTAAATTAAATATTTTAAGTATTTTATAAAGTGTCTTAATAAGTATAAGGTGTCTTAATAAGAAAATTCTAATTAGATAAATATGATGGATGAACTTGTTTCAAAAATACCCTCAAAGGTAAGTATATATTTGCTCTAATTTGATTTCCATAATTATTAATTTATTTTCTTTGTATAATTCTATTTCATTATCAATTTTAATCATTTATTCTATTGCATTTCATTTAATATTTAATTCTACAATTCTATTTCAAATTTATAAGCATTTTATTACAAAAACCACATTTTATTCAAGTGTCTTAAGGACATCTTAAGAAGCCGAAGCCTACAGCATCTGGCATCTGGGCTGTGGGTTGTGGTATTTATATTTGTTTTGATTTCATGCCCCACCGAGGATGAGCCACAACCAGAGCCCCCAACCCCCCATTATATTTTGTCCTAAGCCCAACACGCCTATATATTTATAAATAATATTAAAATAACAAAAAATAAAGAAAATGCAACTGCTAGCTATCCCTCCTGTTGATCAACTTTTGTGCAGGCTGAAAATAAAGGGAAATTTTCCTCGTTTTCTCTGGCAAATAATTTCCCCAACATTGAACAAGGAAAAGCTTTCAATCGTTGTAAGTTGAAAAGGGGGCAGGATTCAACAAAGATAAGAGTCGCTGCGGCAGCCACTTGCCACTCAGTTGCTCGTCGGCAGTCGAAAGGCATGGATGGAAGTGTCGCAGCAACAACACCTTGCAACACATCAGCAACAACAGAACCATCTGGAGCAGCAACAACCTTAATTTATAAACTGCATTTTTAAAGAACCACAACCAGAGATTTTTAACAAAACTATAATTTTTTTCTATAATTTTTTTTCAAGTTAATTAATAATTAATTAATTAAAAATTAAAAAACATAACAAAAAAAAAAACAGAAAAAGTGCCTAAAAGTGATGGTGTTTTTAAAAACTTGAATTCTATAACAAAAAAGCCAAAATAATATTGAAAACTTTTCAAACTTTCCGCGGTGTGTGTTTGTGTGCCTTAAGCCTTAACGTTTTTTTTTTTTTGTTTGTGGCATGCCACCGCGCCCCTCCTCCAAAGGGTGCTGCCTAAGGGAACGCATTTAAGTGCAGATTTATGTTTCAGACACGCCAGCTCTCTGGGCCACCCACCGAGACACATCGACACACTGCCAATTAAAGTTGCCACAAGAGAAAAAGCAGCAGCCACACTTGCAACAGAAATTGCAACTTGCAACAGAAACTGCCAAAAAAAAAAAAGGCGAAAAAAAGTTTAACAAGCGAAGCACTGTCACAAGAGCAACAATTGCAACAAAAGCAACAATATCAGTAGTAGCAGTAGCACTAACAACAACAACAACAACAATAGCTACAACAACGTGTTGCTGCCACAAAACGCAGCAGCCACAACGTGAGCGTCATCGTTGCCCTTCGCACGCCTCTGCGGGTAAGTTGACATTTCATTTTCATTTTGAGTGCATCCCCCTCTTTTTTTTTTTTTTTTGTTTTTGATTTTTTCATGTGTGTGTGTGTGAGGGTGTTAGGGTGTGTGGGTGTTGGTGTATTAGTGTCGGGGTCAGCGGGTTATTACAAGTTATGCATTTCTGCCAACAGCAACAGATTCCAAATCCTTGCAACCTTTCAACTCACGTTTCGCAAAATGGCCAACACAGACACGCACAAACACTAACACTCACACAAACACACACACACATTCTACACACTATTTCGAGCCAGACTCGAAAATATACAATTTTTTTTTTGTGTTGCCTGCTTTTGGGGGTCAAAATGCTAAACGCCCATCAGCGACATCAGCTGGTTGGAAGTTAACGGTCGGAAGTAGAGGGGTGGATGATCAGGGGGGGATTGACAAAATATTCATGGCTAAATAAAAAACACTTTAAGATATTTTATTTTAATATTTTGTTCTTAGAAAATTAAGAAATATAAACAAGGTAAATATTCTAAAAAAGATTAAAAGATTAAAGGGGTTCTTAGGTTCTAAATTTTAAATTAAATTTGCTTTGCTTAATTAATTAATTATTTGCCAATATTTTTTGAGCCTTTCTTTGTATTAAAGTTAATGTAATGATTAAAAAAAATTAAAATAATGCAACATTTTTGTAAGAATTCGCTAAAAAGTGCAAGAATTAAGCTTAAAAAATTATCCAAATTCAAAATAAAATATAAAAAAACACTTTAAAAAATCAGAAAAGCATTAAGAGTTTAGGCCACTAATTCTAAATTATTTTTAAAATTAAGATATGTATTTATTTTATTTTAAGGCTCTAGAAAACTCTACCCCAACTCCCAAATATCCTTAAAAACATCATTTTCTCACTGTGGAATAGCATTTTATTGACCCCAAACCATCGAGTCCTGACTCCAAGGGTCTCTAAGGACCCGCAGGACACTAAGGACACACACTTTGCATGTTTATCTCGCCGTGGGTGGGTGCAAAGGACTCGAGGCAGGACTCCAGGCAGGACTTCAGCCAGACCTCGAATGCTTTGTGAACTAGCGAACTTGGCGCTTGGCTCCAATTTATGTCCTGTTTTTGGTGTCCTTGCCGTCCTGCATACAAATGTCAAATTTAAAATTGAAAATTAATCGGCCGTTATCGATAAGTTTTCGATTACAAACTCGTTTAGTAACGAGTCCCCTCCCAAGGGGATTCTTAATTAAAAGCTTAATTGGAGAGGCGTTAAAAAAAAAAATAAAAATAGGAGAAGGAGAACAAAAAAATTAAATAAAACGATTGCGTAATTAAAAGCAAACAAAAGCCATGTGGCCTGTTTATGGCCTAAAACCGAATATGGCCAACAAGGTGGGGGAGGCGAGCAAACAGAAGCAACACTAGAGCGGAGGAGTGGCCTGCCAATGTCCTGCCAGTGTCCTGCCAGGGAAATTAAAAACTTAATGGTCGCAAAAAGGACACACATGGGAAGCTGTTGCCGCCAGCGAGCCAAGGACTTGGCTTAAGATTGAATTTTCCAAAGGACTTGGCTTCTAGTACAATGGCAGCCAAATATAGTCGCAAATAATCAGAGTCCTTTTTTTTTTTAATTTTATAATAAATATGCAATGAGCTTAAGGGGGGATATGTATAGGATGATGGGAAATATATTAAAAAAAAGCTAAAGAGTTTAAAGATATTTTAAAGATATTTGTTTTAAAAAATTCTTTAAAAAAATCAAGACTATTCTGGTAGTTTTCAAGTCTTTCTAAGGACTATTTTTATTAAATTTTTTTTTTAATGAAATATTCTCTTTTTAGGCCACTGTCCTTCCAGCTTCCTGCTTCCTGCTTCTTGGGGAAGGTCCTTTTTTTCTGGGAATCTACTTAAACTTTGTCTTGAGTTGATTTCCTTTAACAATTTTGTCGTTTGCTGGGAAAAACTTAATTTGCTGGCCTGTCACAGTGTGTGTGTGGGTGTGTGTGTCCAGCTATTGGTTTTTATTTGAAGAAGTTAAAGGACTACTACTACTACTAAGACACACACACATATGCCACTGGGATATATAAGGATATTCATCTATGTGGCACATCGTTAAGCGCTGCCAGTTTGACTTAATTTGCGTTAAACTTTTTTTGTTAAAGCTTAGAGGGGGGTGTTGGAGGGGGTTACTTTTTTAAGGTGGTGGGGGGGTTGGTGGTGTAACCATATAACCAAAAAAAAAAAAACGTGAAACGGGAAATGTAAACAAAGGCATTAATCATGCCAGCACACATGCGGCAGTAGACATGGAAGGAGATAGATGGATGGGCCAGCCAAAAAGGGGGTGGTCTTAGAAGGGGAAGGGGGGGCTTGGAGGTATAGGGTACCCTCTGGAAAACCCCAGCAGGTCCATTAAGCCATGGTTTCCCCCTGCTTTCTGGCTTACTCTCTCTTTCTCTCTCTCTACCCCGTTTCCGTTTTCCAGATAAACGGGCCAAGTCATTCTATCGTTCTCTCCCTCTTTATAGCCATCTCTTTCACTCTTTTTGGCCATGTTTGCTTAAATGACAAACTGCTGTTTTGTTAACCGAATAAAATGAAAAAGTCAAAAAAAAAAAAAAAAAACTAAAAAAAGGGACAACGAAAATGTAAAACAAATCCAAAAGTTTCAGGGGAGAAGGAGGGGGATCTACCGAGAGGGTAAAAGGGGTAATGGTATCCAATCCTAGGGGGGGTTTCTCTATTTATTCGCCTGGCAAACTAAACCGCAATAACTGTAAGTGCTCGGCAAACAGAATACCAGCTACAAGCTAAAAAAAAACACAAAAAAAAACCCAAAAAAAACTAACAAGTTGACAGACGACACCCACAACCACAGAATATACATGGCATTATCCCCTAGAAATGGGTGGGTTATACATATATATATATATACATCCAAACATTCTGGTGGTCTGGTCGAATTATTATGATAATCGCAGGCATAAATTATGCCAAAATCGCACTGAGAATTATAGAGCGAGTGTGTTTGCGGCACTAAGCAGGTGTCATAGTACAGTAGACACTATTAAAGTGAAACCCATCAGAATTCCCCAAAAGGGAAAAGTTCCACTTTAGATGACGGCCTTGGGGAAATTAAGTTTTGTGTCATGTTTGTGTCACACAGTGCGTATACGTGATATGCAAATATACATATTTTTGTATATTTTTTGTGGTTAGTGCATATCCATTAATGGGGCGCGTCTTATTCAACGCCCACTTTACAGTTACAAGCAAGCTTCCAGAACTGGCAGGACTGCCAGGACTCTGCTCTGCGCTTTCCACGCTGTCTGGCCTCGGGGGCAATTTATCAAATATTTTATACGAGTTTTCTGCTGCCTGTCAACGTTGATTTTAGCGCTTAGCTGGTTTTGCTTTTTTCCCAACACCACCCACCTAACCACCTACCCACCACCCCACGTGGGTGTCCTTTTGGAGTGGGCGTGGCAGGCTGAGGCGCGTGCTTGCCGCGTGAAGCGAGCAAATAAAACACACCTGTTGCCGCTCAACCCACACGTCAATAATATCCAATGAGAGACAGAGAAAGATAGGGAGTCAGAGAGAGAGAGAGAGAGAGAGAGAGAGAGAGAGGGAGTAAGAGTCCTGTCGAATGTCCTGTCTATGTACATAAAAATATATACAAGAGCCTGTGACAAAATTCAAGTGACAGGCAGCCGCCACATTATGTTCATCATTATGTGTTTCCCTTTGATCTTCTACCTATAGAGAAGGTATACATATGTATTGTATATAGCTATGTAAGTTTTCATTAAAAGTATAGCACCTTTACAGTTATGGTTGCTATTAAAATCACTTAATTAGCTATACAAAATATTAATTAAATCCATAGGAGAATACCTTATAGATGGATTTCTAAAAAAAAGACAAGAACGCAAACCTGGGGGGTCGCTAGTCTGCTAACACGGGTCCTGGGGCTTCTCTATGATCTTCCTTCTGGTTTTCCATACTTTTCTTCCTTGTCCTTGTCCTCTTCTATCGGGCACTTCTTTTCGTCCTTTTCGTAGAGATCCTTTCAAATTTTTTGCCAATTTTCCTTCTATTGTTCTTAATTTTCGCTTTCTTTTGACAGTCAGATTCCAGGGCTTCAAGCTCAGCCCATTATGTTGCAACCCTTCGATTAATCGATAGCTGCTACTTGTCTATCGCCTGCTATCGAGACTAGTAGGCCCTGATAGAGGCTCCAAAAAGAGTATAAAAGGCGGATTTCCTTCATTCCAAATCAGTAGTCAACGGACCTCCAAACCGTTGACTTCTCGCTTTTTATTTTATTTTATTTTTTATTTTTCTTGAATTTTATTTTCTCATTTGATTTATATATTTTTATTTTTTATTCAAAACTTTGGACTGTTGTGGTGTGTCATTGTAGTCAATACTGGTATCGTTACATCTCACGTTCTGGCTCTTTTTCGTTTTTCATTTTATTATTTTTTATTTTACTTGAATTTTATTTTCTCATTTGATTTATATATTTTTATTTTTTATTCAAAACTTTGGACTGTTGTGGTGTGTCATTGTAGTCAATACTGGTATCGTTACATCTCACGTTCTGGCTCTTTTTCGGTTTTCATTTTATTATTTTTTATTTTTCTTGAATTTTATTTTCGCATTTAATTTATATTTTTATTTTTTATTCAAAACTTTGGACTGTTGTGGTGTGTCATTGTAGTCAATACTGGTATCGTTAAACCTCACGTTCTGGCTCCTTTTTGTTTTTTATTTTATTTTTTAATTTGTTGATTTTTTAATAGAATATTTCACCAGTGGCTCTAGGCTCTGTCTGCCCTTCTGGTTTGAATTGAATTATTTTAATTTTTATTTTATATATTTTTTTTTTCAATACGTTGGACTCTTTGTCCGTTTGTCTCTTGAAAAAGACAAACGGATTCAAATGGTCGGTTTCATATATACTTTTATTTTTTCTTGAAACCCTTCAACATACCCTTGCAAGCTGAGAGGGAAAAAGGAATTTTTAATTTATAATTATTATCCCATTTTTTTTAAACTTTGTGTTATTCTAACTCATATCTCACGAATTCTGCGGTTATCGTTTTAAATGCAATTTTTTTGATTCATCGTCTCTGTGGTCTGTCTTTTTATCTGTCTTCTTCTCGATATTTATTTCTGCCTTTTAAATCCTTTTATTTTTAATTTTTTTGATAAACCCATGGATTACTTCAAAAAAATGGATGCGTTTATTTTTATTTTTTAATTTTTATTTTCTTAATATCTTAATTTAATTTTTTTTTTTAATTTCAAGTGCAGTGGGCCTAAAAGCCTACCTTATCCCGCCCCAGAGCAAACGCTATTTCATTTTAAATTTTTATCTCAATTTTTATTTTTATCCTTTAATTTTATTTTTATTTTTACCTTAAACGATTTTCACAACGTTTACCCAAGATTCTGAATCAGAAGTCGGCACGGCCCTATCCCGAGGGCATAGGAAATTTCTCTGCCCGAGCTCTGCCACACACACACAGTATACGTGTGTGAAACGTCATGCTCACAGCCTACTTTTTGCTATTCGGAACTAACACTAATGCGTTAAAATCATATCAATGTATTGGGGTGCCGACCACTGCTCTAAATCCAAAACTGGAAAATTCAAAGGCCATAACTCTGTTAATTTTTATCCGATTCTCAAGCGGGATACTCTAAACGATTTGTAGATCGATTCTCCGTTATTCTGCATCAAAATCCCGGACTGTTAAAATTTTTGGATTTTTTTCCAAAATTTCTAGGGGGTCCCCTTCAAAAACACTGGGAATGACAGTATGACCCCAGCGAAGGCCATAACTCTGTTAATTTTTATCCGATTCTCAAGCGGGATACTTTAAACGATTTGTAGATCGATTCTCCGTTATTCTGCATCAAAATCCCGGACTGTTAAAATTTTTGGATTTTTTTCCAAAATTTCTAGGGGGTCCCCTTCAAAAACACCGGGAATGAAAGTCTGACCCCAGTGGAGGCCAGAACTCTGTCAATTTTCATCCGGTTCCCAAGCGGAATACCTTAAACGATTTGTAAAATGATTCTCCGCAATTCTGCATCAAAATCCCGGACTATTAAAATTTTTGGATTTTTTTCCAAAATTTCTAGGGGGTATCCTTCAAAAACACCGGGAATGCCGGTATGAACCCAGCGAAGGTCATAACTCTGTTAATTTTTATCCGATTCTCAAGCGGGATACTTTAAAAGATTTGTAGATCGATTCTCCGTTAGTCTGCATCAAAATCCCGGACTATTAAATTTTTCGGATTTTTTTCGGATTTTCCTTAATTTTGCATCTAAATCCGAAAGCAAAATTTTTTTTTGGAATTTTTGGAATATCACATCAAATGAGAGACACATTCCAGGGATACCTTTCTTGAATGTTTTATGTTCCAACCCTAAGAACAATCGATACTTGCCTATCGCTTGCCAATCGAGACTAGTAGGCCATGATAGAGGCCCCAAAAAGAGTATAAAAGGCGGATTTCCTTCATTCCAAATCAGTAGTCAACGGACCTCCAAGCCGTTGACTTCTCGCTTTTTATTTTATTTTATTTTTTTATTTTTCTTGAATCTCATTTAATTTATTTTTTTATTTTTTATTCAATACTTTGGACTCTTGGTGTATCATTGTAGTCTATTGGAATCTTATTTTCGTTGAATCTCACATTTTGGCTCCTTTTTGTTTTTGATTTTGATTTTTATAAAAAGTTGTTTTTAAATCACATCACCTGCAATCTGAGTCTTCAAGCGTCTTCGTTTTTGGGGAAAATATTCTCATTTAATTTGTATTTTTTTATTCTTTTATTTTATTTTATTATTCAGTCATTTATTTTATTTATTTAATTCGTTGGACTGTTTTGTGAAACAGATTGAAGTACTCGACTCGACTCGATAAGTTCTGATTTTCTTTTTTAATTTTTGTTTTTCTTATTTTTTGAATAAATAAATAAGGTTTTTTATTTTTATTTTTTATTCAATACCTTGGTCTCTCAACCGAACGAGCAAGAAGGTCCAGGGTGGTCTCTTTGGACTCCTACGGAACCATTGGAGAAACTCTAGTTGTCCCTGATATAATTTTTTTTTTAAAGAACGTATTGAAAGAATTCCTTTAAACTATTGTTATAAAAGTCTTAAGATCTCAAGTTTCGCATGGTGTATGTGGCTTCTAGTAAATTTATTAAAATTTTGTATACATTTTTTTTTTATTCAAATCTTTGTTGGCTCCTCAATTATCTCCAACGAGTTCATTGCGTCTTCTTTTCTGATTTAATTTTTATTTTTATTTTTTATTCAATACCTTAGTCTCTCAACCGAACGAGCAAGAAGGTCCAGGGTGGTGTGTTATATTTATTTAATTTAAAATTTTTTTTTTTTTAACTCTAATTTATTTTTTAATACAAACCTTGGCCATAGTGCATTTGTAGGCAGCAGCATATATAACTTCTTTGCTTTTTTTTTATTTTTTTTTTTTTTTATTATTTATTAATTTAAAGTTCTTATCCCAATTTTTTTTTTAAATCAATAAAATCTTCATCTTTTTTTTTAATATTTTCCAACTTTTTAATTAAAAATTAACAGCCCATCTTGCATTTTTTGTGGAATTTCAGGTGGCAAGATGCAGGATGCCCGGTTGGCTGTCAAGATTGCAACTAGCACGGCCCGTTCCTGTCAACGGCAGAGATTCTATGAACCGAATGCCGAGGTCCGTTGGCCAAAAGAGGCCAGCCATTAAATCAGCATCCATCGGCGAGGGTTGCCACTAGAGTAACAGATACACAACTACCCACCCACCCACAGAGATACAGGTAAGTGAGATACTACAAGATACTCTCATATCCAAGCCGGAATAAATTTAAGGACAAACTTTTTGTCCTGCTATGCCTGTTAACATTGAATACCCATTCCCATTCCGGTTCTCATTCAAAAAAAAAGAATTCCCATTCATGGGCGAAAACTTATTTACGGCCCACAATTATTTCCAGCATTTTATTTTTACGTCTCTTTGGCAGTTGCTTTTCAATTTTTCGTTGATTTGTTTGTGCTGCAAAGTCGGCAATCAAAGCACCAATTGTTACGTCTCCCTGCCTTCTTATCGTTCTCTTATTTTGTTCTTACTTTGCTTTTACTTTTCCCCTCAATATTTTCGTTTTTGGGTGTTTGGGTTGTGTTGATACGCTTTCTAAGCTCTATGTCCGCTTGTCCGTCTGTCCGCCAATTGAGTATTTTTGTATATTAATCTTTTGTTTGTAGAGATATTGGGCTGTAACTTGATATGTATGATTGTTCCTAGAACAGGTTCCTAGAACTATATGTGTGAGAAAGAATCAAATCGGAGAACTTTAGCCTATATAAAGGTCTATATAAAATCATGTTCTATGTCCGTCTGTCCGCCAATTGGGTATTTTTGTTTATTAATCTTTTGTTTGTAGAGAAAATGGAGTTGAAACTTGTTATACATGATTGTTAAGGTTCTTTGAACTATATGTTTGAAAAAAAAAAATAAAATTAAAAGACTATATCTGATAAAATATTTATATAAAATCATATTCTATGTCCGTTTGTCCGCCAATTGCATATTTTTAACTATTTTATCGTTTAAATCAATTGCAATATAAATCTCATAAACAAGCTATTGAGCTGAAACTTTACAAAGATCATCTAGACTCTAAGCCAGTATTATATGTAACAGTTTAAGAAGAATTAGACAACTATAACTTTTGAAAATCCTTTAAAAACTTCCTACAAAATCGTATATTTTTGAAGAACCCATCTTAGCGCATTTAAGCTTCGGTTCTATTTCCCAAAAAAACTTCCTTAATTTGATTTTTTGTTTGCTTTTTGTTTGTATTTGTGTTTGTGTTTTGTGTTTTTCTTTTTGGCGCTTTGTTTTTATCGCCCAGCGTACAAGTGAACGCTTCCGTTTCCGCTACAGAAGCGTCACAGTTGGTTTCCATCTGGTCGTCCAGCCATCTAGCCATCCCAACCATCTAGCCAGCTCCCATTCTCCATTTAAATTACATGGCAATCGAAAGGAAGGTCCTGGCATTCCGTGCCCATTCATTCACTTTGGGTCCTTGTTCTCCTCTTTTTTTTTTTTTTTTTTCTTTTTATGTAATTCCTCTTCGTTTGTACACTTAAACAAATTAAACTGAAATGATTCACAGTGACTAGGACTAGGACTAGGACTAGGACCGTGGCTAGGACTAGGACTGGAGTGTTGGTTGGACAAACTATGATAACGAGGCTCTATCACACCGAAGAGGATCCCGCCTACTGCTCCTTCATCGGTGGCAGCAATTTAAGCAGCAGCAGCGATGTCCTTGCCACATCTGCCAATGCCACGCCAGTGTTTGGTAGCGACCTGCGGGACGATTTTTACAGGGTAAGTTGCACTATTACACTTTTCCTATATATATTGCGTATTATCCTTGCATCTTCAATAAGTAAGAAAAAAAAAAAAAGAAAAGCTGGCTCGAAGAACCAAACAGGACAACCTGCTGTGTGTGGGAGAAAAAACTGTTGCCTACTTTTAGACGCCGCGGGTTGTATGTGTGGGTTTTTTTTTTCTCAGCCTCATTTTATGGCACAGCACGTGAAGTTTTGGGATGTTTTCTTGACTGGAGGTCTTAGGGGGTGACCTAACTAAGGAAATGGTTGCAAATTTTTATATTTTTTGGAGCTTAAACATTTAGGTAAAGGGTTTTAGAGGGCTTTTTAAAAATACAAGGTGGAAATATTATAAAAAAAGATAAAAAAAATGTTTAAATACATTAGTTTTGAGTCTCAAGACCTGAAGGAGTAACTTGACTTATGAAATAGCTTCAAAATTTCCATTTTCTTAAATACAAAAAATTAAGACAAAGGCCTAATGAGAAATATATTTAAATAATTAAATTTAAAAACAAATATGGGCTATCTATTTAAAATATTCGAACAAAAAATAATAAAAAAAAATTTTTTTTAAATTCTTATCTATTAGTTTCGAACTTGTTACTCTTTAAAATAATTTTTTCTTCTTAAATTACTGCCCTTTTTCAATTAAAAACTCTCATTACCAAAAGCCATAAATATCTTAACCTTTTTACCTCTAAAAATTACAATTTATTTGGCTTTTAAAAAAGGATATATTTTTTTTTTCTTTCTGGCTTAAGTCCTTAACATCCTTTAAGGCAAAAAATATAAAGCCCAAAAGTACTTAGTGCCAAAAATGGCCTCATAATTTGTTTTGCGGGCAAGGAAATGCCCAAGCAAATACCAGAAGAAATTCAGATTTCAGGCCAGGACTTTGCCAGGAGAATGCCTTCCGCCTTCAAGGAATAAGGAAAATAAAAGGATGACCCGGCTGAGTGACAGCCCCTTTGTTCGCCGAAAAGTGGTGTGGCAAAGGCAAGCGCCTTGTGTGGAAAACAAAAGGCATACGTGGCAGGCACAGACATACACACACACACACCCAAACGTGCCACTTGCCACTTTGCGTGTGGGTGGGTGGTGTGTGTGTGTGGGTGGTATGTGTGTGCTTAGGCAGTCACAAAAAAATAAAAGTGTCAAGTTGACTATTGAATTTTTATCTATGCCAGGCCATAGCCCATATATAGTATATATAGCCTTCTTCGAAGATCCAACAAAAGACGCAGCTATTGATGATTTATGACCTTGTTTGTTGTATATCCTTTCTTGTTCTTGTTTTTGTTGTTGTTTGTTTGCAGGATGTGGAGGATCCGCGAACGGAATCGCTGCGTGAATACTGCTACGGCCTGCTGTTACCCATCATCTGTGCCATGGGCATTATCGGCAATGTGCTCAACTTGATCGTGCTCACGAGGCGCAATATGCGCGGCATCGCCTATATATATATGAGGGGTGAGTGTCCTTTGTTGTTGTAGTCCTTATTGGCATTGGCATCAAGGAAGGCAATCAACAGGATAATTTTCCATGTCAGACACACAACATACACAACGTACTGTTGAAGGCTGTTGAAATAAATGGCAAAGTTTAAAGTCATTTTTGGAGTAAAGTTTTTTAAGGGAATTCGAGGAAAAGTATTAATGGGAGTTGTTTTTTGTTAGGAAGTCTATTTAAGGATTATAAAAGGTGTCTAGAAAAGGACTTTAAAATATTAGAGCGTAGTTGTAGCCTTAGGTATACGATAAGGACTTAAGCAATCACATGGAAAATATTATGGCATATTATTTGAAGCATATATATTGAAAAAAATGGCCAACTAACGATGAAATCACATGTCAAAGGACATTGAAATATGATTTTTTGTTGTTGTTGAATTTTTAGTCCTGCTTTAAGACCATATAGGGATATTTGGGGTCTACTTACTTAAATACTTAATATTATAGCATATTCTTATGCATAAGTATGAAATAAGTTAAATAATATATAAATAAAATAATAATAAATATAATAAGATATCAGCGAAAAGTTTTTTTAGTCCAGTTTTTAGTCTTTTTTTTTCGTCCTGGGCATATCTCTGGGCATACCTCTAATAACGCTTAATACCATAGCATACTTTTAGGCATAATTAGGTATAAAGTGATGCAACCATGACAAGATAGGAAGGAAAACAGAAGGAAAAACTTTTAATTCTTTTTTAATTTTTAGAGAAATAATTATTATTTATTTATAAATGAAATATAATAATGAATAATTAAATGAATAAATATAATTTATAATATTATAAATTACCCTATAAGGGAATTAAAGCTTATTCAATAAACCCTAAAAAATAGTAAGAAAATAGTACACTTTTTTGCACAATTATACCAAAATTGATGAACAAACACTGAGAAGATATTAAGAGAAATTGTAAGCCTTTTATTTTTGAAACTATAGTTCTGTATTATTATATATTACATTATCATCTATTACCATTTTATGACTCATTTAAAGTCTATTCCATAAACTCTACTATTCTATAACACTCTACATAAAAACCCCAACATTTATTTAAAATCCTTACCTTCTAAAAATTTAAATACCAATCTACTTCCTGATATTTACTTTTCATTTAAAAAGAACAATTAAAATATGCTAATTGGAGGGAAATGGAGGAAATGCAAATACTAGAAAGTCAGTTTCACAAAAACAGGAACAGAAACACGAATAGAAACAAAAAAAAAAAAAGCAAACAAATTTAAGTCAAAATTTAAAAGTGATTACAATCAAGGGCCCCAACAAAAAAGCAGTCAGAAAGAAAAAGATTTACATGGCTGTCTAATAAATGAGTTTATAGCCTCCTGAACTTGATTAAGAGAAGCTCCAGATAGTCTTTTTAAAAAAAAGTCATCAAGTTGTTTACTGTTTTTTAGAAATACATTCCTCTTCATTTTGATTATGATTTGAGCGATAACCTATCTGCTATATATATATATTGGCTTATTTTTTTTTTTTTTGAGACACTCATACGTCTTCGCCCACGAATTTCGGCCAACTTCCTTCCTTCGTACCAAATTCCATCTGGCATTCCCATTCAATAAACCAAGACGATGGAAGAGCAGGGTGGCACAAAATTGGGCACGACTCCTGACTGATTGCCAAATTGAGTTTCGCTTTAGAACATATGTATTCCCTTGGCCATTGTGTGCCAGAATTTATTCATTAACCTCCGACGATTTCTGGCTAAATAGAAGCCCAGCCACAATGCCTGCTAATATATTCTGGATATTCTGTGAGTGAGGCTCGTGTTTGTGCAGCTTCATTGAAAGTTATTTCATTAGAGACAGTAGAGAGGTTAAACCGTGGAAATTTATGCAGATCCCAGCCAAAGCCCCCATTCTCCCTTCAAATAACCAGTTTCAGTTACAGCTTCTTCCCCATTCCCCCTTGCTTTCAGCTACTATATTAGACAGGCATGTCAACTCTATTAGACACTCGTTTGCTTTATGGCGCTTTAATTGATTAATGAGCTTCGCTTTCTTTCTCACTTGTGAGCCAAAAAGTGGTAACTTTGTCAACGACGCCAGTTGCTGGTAATTTTTTAGCCTCGACTATCACTCATGAGGGGGGTTTTTCACACAAAAAAAAAATATATATATAGGTATGTGTATGTGAGGGAAAGGATTAAGCAATGACGAACATAATTTACTCTTAAAGGGAGGTTTTTGTAAGAAAGCAGGGCATTTCTAGAAGGTTATTGAATTTCTTAGATATTAGAAAATATTTTATTTTATTTTAAAGACTATTGCTGAAGGAGAACTTAAGTTAACTCCTCATATATATAATGAAAACAATTAATTAAGTTTTTATCTATCAAAAATAAGTGATATTCAAGGCTAAAATAGGAAACTAAATTTTACTATAAATAATACTAAACAATAGTATAAGTTCTTAGTATAAATAGAACCTCAATATCATCGATAGAAAATTTTTAGAATCACGTTTCCTTACTTCAAAGCAATTCCTTGATAAATCTTAAGGTTATTTTAAACGTTTTAGAGGAAAAACACATCACAAATGTCTTTTTTCTAAGAATTTTCCTAAAATAAAAATTTATATAGTAATTATCGATATTATTGGTTAACAAAGAAACTTTACTTCTAAGCTACCTCTTAATAGATTGAAAAATGTTCTCTAAATATCTTAAAAGAAAAAAAAAAAAAAACAAAGTAAATGTATTTTTTTTAAATAAATTTCTTTAAACTAGAAATGTTATCGCATTTATCGATATTTTCGATTTTAGATAACACTTACCTTCAAAATTATTGCTTTATAGATCCAAAGATTTTTCGAAAACCTAAAACCTTAGGTACAAAAAAAATTAATAATGTTATTAAAAAAAAAAACCAAAATTGAACATGTATATCGTACATATCGATATTTTCGATTAATCCTTTGGTAATTTGTAACCTTTTATGAAGAAAAAATTACACAAAGCTTCATAAAAACAAAAAACAAGAGACAAAATAGCTCATGTATATAAAGTCTTATCATTTCTTCCTTAAAAAAAAAACTCCTAAAAACCCATAACTAGAGGCTATCCGCTAGAGGCCTCCTCTGGAAATTCAAAATAGCCGATCTGCCTGAAATTTACTCACTTTTCCTCATAAAAGAAAGTGGAAAGTAAAATGCGAAATGCTTCAAATGTAATACGCGTGCGATGGCAGCATAATTGATTGCCCTTTTCGACTGCCTCCAAAACGAAAAAGGACCTAGGAAGGATGAAATGGGCATGGCCTGCTCAGGGGGAAGTAGGGAAGGGGGTAGTAGGGTAGTATATGTATATGCAAAGTGAGACCCTTTGGCTGACTGAAATATCACCAGCATCTTTGCCACTGCCAAGTGGCAGTAAATAAAAGTTGTGAAGAGCCAACCACCAGCCAACCAAAATAAGTATAATAATGACGGAAATCAGAGCCAACGCCCAGTAGCTGGCTTCTCATTTTATTAAAATAACAAAAATATTTTGCTGCTCGCAGCCTTTTTTACGATACTGTGAGGAGGAGGAGGAGGGGTCGTCCCATTTGTTATTTTGGCGGTCATTGCCACCAAATGTTGTATGTCCTTCTGCCACTGTCTGAGGAGTATGTGTGCCAGTAAGTGTTGACCAAGTTATGCAGTTGTTGGTATTTTTTGGTAAAATATTTTATTGTCAGCTGGGGAATGCCATCCAGCCAGCAATCCAGTCAGCCAAAACAATGAGCCACAGGGACATTTTGGGAGGCCATAAACCAGAGGATCTTTGATCTGAAAACTTGGGCTAAATAATCATAAATTTATATTACGATTTTCGATAAAATATATTTTATGTCTAAGATTAATAAGAGATTTGGAAAGATGCCAAATCGAAGGGATATTAGGATGCAGGGTGAGGTGTTTACTTCAGAAATATTTAATTTATTGAATCTTTGTTAAAGTTATGCAATTTTGAACATGCTTCATACATGTTTAGACATGTTAGAAATACAAATATTATAAAAAGCTATTTTTTTTTAAAGAAAATATCCCTTGAAAGTGTATCAGGTTAGGGATAAAGGTAGCTATTATAAAGATCTATAATTTAAAGATTTTTTTCAAAGTTGAACCTGTTTAAGCATGTTTTTTAATTTGTCTTAAACATGTTAGGAAATGTTTGAAGTGCGAATATTTTATACAGTTCATATTTTTTAAGGAAATATCTATTTAAAGTGTATTATGTACTTTAGATCTTTAATTTATAGCATTTTTAAAGTAAGGCATGTTTAAACATGTTCAATCACGTTTCCTGGTTTGTCTTAACATGTTTAGACATGTTCAAAGTACAAATATAAGTTAAATATACTTTTTTTAAAAGAAAATATCCCTTTAAAGAGTATTTTTTTAATGGCAATGATAGGGTTATATCTCTAATCTCTTATTTAGGATTAAGATCTCTAAGTTATAGCATTATTAAAAGTAAGAAATGTTTAAACACGTTGGTTTTTTTTTTAAACATGTTAAGACTTGTTTAAAACGCAAATATTCCTATTATTTTTGTAAAATATCCATTTAAAGTGTATCAGGTTATTGGCCAGGATGTCTCTTGGCCAAAAAAGCACTCAATCACTGGTCCAGCAATCCGTTAAGCCGCATCTGGCCCCAAACCATCGCTGGGAATGGCTGGATGCTGGAGTGAGAGAGCGTTGACAGGCAAACACTGGCGATTTGTATTAAAATAAAGGCAGGCAGGGAGGCAGGCAGGCAGTAGGCAGGCAGGCAGGCTGCAGGAAACGGCCAGGACACTTGTCAGGCGAGGCACAAACAAAACTGACATTTATATTGATGTGTCCCAGTGCCCAATTAGATGCCCATCATTATGAGTGGATGTCTCTGTCTCCCTCTATATGGCATATATCCTTTTCTAGATAGTCGTTTATAACGAACATTAGGGCTATGTGTGCACAGCAATTTGGTGAAGGAGCTGCGCACATGATATTAGTAATAATGTAATTATATGGCCATAAACAAAATAATAAATCAATAAACAACAACAAACACACACACAAGCTGGCGCACACACATGCCCCAGACATGCACAGGACAACATGCACAGGACACGCACACGCACACGCACACAAGTCATGTGTGAGACAGTTGCGGGTAAAAGCCAAAAAAGGATGTTGGCAGTAAGGGAACCGGAAAGGAAAGCCATTCATTTGGGTCGCGACTCTTCAGTATATGTGTGTGTGCCTGTGTGTGTCTGCTTCCTGTTGCCATACGGACGGAAACGGCGCCATAATTATGCCATAAAGCCAACCATAAAGGACATTTTTATAGATCTACCCTGGCCTTCGCCATGTAATCCCTTTGTTATGTTTCCATAGCTTACTCCACCGCCGCCCTGTTGGCCATCGTTTTTGCCATACCCTTTGGCATCCGTATGCTGGTCCACAAGGATCGAGGACAGTGGGAGGAGTTCGGCCCCGCCTTCTATACCGCCCATTTAGAGCTTTATTTGGGCAATGGTTGTCTGGGTGAGTCTTGGATAAAGCTTTTAAAGCTTTTAGTTTTTTAAGAACCTTTCTAGGAGGGGGTTTGGGTTTAATCTTTTGGATTTCTTATAAATATTTTTAAACCCTCTAGTACCGGATATAAATAGTCTATTTCAGGAACTAAGCTATTCTAGCTCTCTTTTTAAAATCTTCATATGAACATCCCTCTATTTCCCCCTTCAGGTGTTGGTGTTATGATGCTACTAGTCCTAACCATCGAGCGTTATGTCTCCGTTTGTCATCCTGGGTTCAGTAGACCCGTAATGGGACCACCAGGGTGAGTGCTTACCCCCCCAAAACTAATACTCTAATCAATACTCTAATCTCCATCCTGCCAGCGTTGTGGTCTTTTTCACCTGCTTGGCGACCGTGATTGTCTACCTGCCGAGCATTTTTCGCGGCGAGCTAATCAAGTGCATGCTGGGCTCCAGCGATGTGTACGTGTATCTCCGAAGGGACAACACCATCTACCAGCAGACGCTGTTCTATCGGGTCTACAAGATTATGCTGGAGGTGATCTTCAAGCTGATACCCACGGTGCTGATTGGGGGCCTGAATATGCGTATCATGATGGTGTATCGGAGGACCTGTGAGCGGAGGCGGCAGATGGTGCTCAGTCGTCCGCAGGCCCATCATCATCATCACCATAATGCCAATGGGCCGGGGTATGTGAAGGACGATGATCCGCGTAAGTTCGCCGAGGAGAGGCGATTGTTCCTGCTGCTTGGTAGCACCTCGATCCTGTTCCTGGTCTGCGTTTCCCCGATGGCGATACTGCACATGACGATCGCCTCGGAGGTGTATCCGAGCTTTCCGTTCCAGGTTTTCCGGGCCAGTGCCAATCTGCTGGAGCTGATCAACTATTCGCTGACGTTCTACATCTATTGCCTGTTCAGTGAGGACTTTCGCAACACCCTGGTGAGGACGATCAAATGGCCCTGGCTGAAGGGCAAGTTCTGCCATCAGGCCGAGCACGAGGTGAGTGCCAGTCCGCCGGCGACCGCCGGAACCGTTGCCGCAGCCGGTACTGCCACAACTGCAACTGCTAATCCTTCCCCGGCGATTCCGGCGAATCCGGCGCCGATCCTTCCGACAGACCCGCACGGAGAGGAACCCGAAAGGCTTGCCAATGGTACGGTTCGATAAGCGACAGAAGCACAAGCATCAGTCCCAGCACAACCACATAACCACCACGTCCGGTTTGGGCCGTTCAAGCAGCATATAGGCGATCTAGAAGCGATAACCGATAACCGATAACCCTCCAACATCCAACATCCCAGATTCCAGTCCATTCCGAGGTGTGATTGATCAGCATTTTCTAGTTCAACAGCAGTATTGATAAATAAAATCGATAAAAATAACCATTCCGATTACTTAAGGAGGTTATCCAGCTTTGAATCAAGGGTTATCGATAAAAAATTGATTATTTTGTCGATAACTCTTAAGATAAAGTGACTAACCCCAACTAACCCCAAACAGCTCTTAAAGCTTAATGAGCGCTTTCCCCAAAAAATATCGATAATGTATCGATTAAAAATATCAATAATATTAACGATAAAATTACCCAGAAAAATATCGATTAAAGTATAAAAATTCGCAGCAGTCCAATTCCCCAAAAGAAAACCGAAAGCAGATTAAGTTTAATGTTGAAGCTTTGGATAGAAAATACCAATAGATACCGAGTCGTAATACTCCCCGATAACAAAATAGGTAATACCCACCATCTCTAGGTGTGATTTCACAAAAAAAAATTGTTGTATTCAATGGCAGTATAAGCATGTAAAAAGCAAAAGAAAATTGAAAATCTGTGTGTTGAATGGCATTAAATAGAAAACTATCGATAACTATCGATTACACCAAAATCCCCTAAAACCAAAACAGCTAACGATCAAGCCTTTAAAGCCACAGCTTAACTGAAAAGAACAGCTATATCAGCTATATATACTTGTGTTCAACAGCGATTAACGATTACCGATAACGATAACGATAACTAGCGCCACGCGTTGCCATACTTAAGTGTCTGTGTATGTGTGTGTTCCTCGAAAAAAAAAACCAAATATATAATGCTTTTTTTTTGTGTAGTTCTAGGTCTAGGTCTAGAGATAAACCAAGTTTAATCGAAAAAAAAGTATCGAAGTTATCGAAAGGCAAACGATAGGCGATCTACAAGATGGCTTTCAAAAGGATATATGTATGTTATCGCTCGTATACTCTAGTTTTAGATACATTTCAAAGATGCAGATCCCGATAACGGATACTGAAACATACACTCTGACAGCGTGACATGCGGTACTTATATATATACACATATATACACACATATATATACATACTTATAGATATATATACTTATATATATATATATATATAAATGTGGATGATATTTACGTAAGCGATATATATACACAGGCATTAACTTTAAGCGAATATATTTATATATGCATATATGTATCTATTGATTGTAGCATTTAAGTGCTTGCAAGAGGAGGTTCCCCCAAAAGCCAGGTTCCCAGGAGTACTTATCTTTATCCTTTAGAAAGATACATTTTCAGATGCAGATACAGATACAACCCTGCTGAGCTACAAGTTCAAGTGTGAGGGAGAACTTTGAATTGAGATTGATTGTTAAGTTTAATTAATTGTAGTAGTGGTACTAACTATAATTCGTATACCTAATTCTAGTTAATGATTAAGTGCTTTGAGTTCAGGTCAGGTCCTTGGTTGTTGAAAAAATATCCTTCAAATATCCCTTGCAGCACGTGTAGTGACAAAAAAATTAACTAAATGTGTGTACCTAGGATTTAAAAATAAAAAAAAACCAAAAAAATTATGTCTATTTAACAAAATTAAAAAAAAAAACTGCATGGCATTAAGTAAAACCATAAATTAAAAAAAAAATATTATTTCGCATATATTTTAAAGATATAATTTCAAGGCTTTATAAAATAAGGCAAATATATAAAGATATTCCAAGGACCTTAAGAATCCAATAATAGGTTATATCCTATTTCTCAAAATTAACAAGAATGTGTATTTATATTTTTTTTACTTTTTAATATTTCCCTAATATTTGTTTTAGAATTTTTCCTAATTTTCGTTTTCCAGAGCTCAGCTCACAAAGCCAAGAGAAACTAAGAAAGTAAATATTTTAGGAATTTAGTAAAAAACTAAAATAAAAAAAAAATAAATAACGAAAGCCGCGGCATTTAAGACACCAAAGCATTACTTACCCAAAACAAAAAAAAAATAAACAAAAACTTACAAAATATCCAAAAAAAAGAAAAATGGAACAATTTTAATTGGTGTCAATGTTCAATGAATAAACTTAAAAAAAAAACGTAAGAAAAGGCAAATTTTTTTAATTGGAGACCATTGGTTTGTTTATATTTAGTAAAAAAATAAAATTAAAAAAAATATACATATATAATTGGCATTAAAAAACTAAAATTAACAGAAAAAAAATAATTAATTGTATATGGTGCGGGATATAAATGGAAGAGCAGGAATAATACCGAAAGCGTTGTTCTTATAAACTTATACAAAAAAATCCTAAGACTAGTTCTCAGTTCTCTCTTTCTCTGGGAAGAATTCTGCGAAGAATTCTCTACCAAGGTCGCCAGACCACCAAACGTTGTTGTACAATTTCCGCCAATTGGCGTTGTCTTTGTCGTTTCCTTTCAAAGATCTGATGGCGTATTTTTAGGAGGATACTATCCCGAGGAGCTGCAGCGGCAGGATGCGGCGTGGAGACCTGATGGAGATCCTCTATGAAGTCCACTTCCATCTCATCGGGGGATTGGGCTAAGAATTGCTCTTTTCTGGAAGTTGATTCGGTTTCGACGGAAACTTGAACGTGATCCTGGTCATGGTCGGTTTGGTCAGCCATCTCGCAGGGATATTCTAGTTTAAGGCAACGTTGTCTCTGTAAATTGTCAAATTAAATAATGTTTTATTAATAAATTATAAAATTTGTTGGGGTTTTTGTTTTATATGGATATTTTGAAGAAAAAAATAAGGTTTTAAACCTGAAGAATTAAGTTTAATAGTTGTTTTAAACATGTTTTTAAGATTTTAAATGTTTTAAGTATTATAAGAACTTATGATATATGGTATAGTTCTCGTATTTTAGGTCTCAAAATAGGTTCTTAGGATCAAGAATATTTTTACAAAAATTTTAATTTAATTGTTAAAAGAAAATGGTTAGATAAGTATCGGATATGAATATCTTTTTGAAAAAATGTTTTTTTTTCGCAAAAATGTCATTTTTTTTAAGGCAAGTTTCTAGTTTTTTATTTTAAAGGGCTTTTTAAATAAAATAATTTGATAACAACATTTCTATAAGCTTTCTTTTTTGTACAATTTTCCTTTAAAATTAAAAAAAATATTAATTTTTTATTCACAAGTGGCCTATTTCTAAAAATAATAAGAATTATTATTTAACTAAGTTTCTTTTTAAGTTTCTTAGGAGAGTGATTCTTTCTAGCAACATTTTTAGTTAAGAACTGATTCACAAAAACATATTTTTTTTAACACAACATAGTATTACATTTTTAAATTTTATTTTTAATATAATTTTTTTGAAACAAAATATTAAAAGAAAACCTACCTTCTTTCGACTGGCATTCTCGGCCAAAAATCGGCACAGCTGCTGCAACTGCTGCTCCGCCAGGTCCTCCTTTTGTGACTGCTGATCCCGATCCAGATCATTACTATCCTGATGGCTATCCTTATCCTGATCGAGGCGACGCTGTTGTTGCTGCTGCCGCTGCTTGATGGCCGCCTGCACCTTGCAACGTGTGGCCGAGCTCAGGCTGAGATCCATGCCGCGGCGCTGTTGCTTCAGTATCTTATAGATGACGCCCATTTGGGGGTTATTTCGGGATGAAACTCCAAAAATCCAAGTATTATATGTACGATATAAACGGCAAGAGTTGCAAGCAAAGACTGTTTCCAAATGCTCGCCTACGCGACTTCTTATACGAGAAGGAGAATTCTTTAGCTCCCCGGCTTGCGCTGCTCTGCTCTGCTCGGAGCTGAATATATGTTTGGAGATTAAAAATAAAACATAACTCGTGGGCCCATGTGTTTCTATTTTTTTTTTTTTTTCCGGCAGATTGCGCGCCAAACTCGAAACTCCTCCGTTGAGTTGAAAACTTTATGAGACATCCATTGCTCAAGTGGAGTTCGGTTTTTGAATCTATTTTCTGCCCTCATTACAGGGCCTTTTAGCAGCGTGCAACACATGTGGCAGGCAATCCAAAAATAGAACAGAGCAGCACTCTCTTCTCACACACAGCTGCAACACTTTCGCTGCACCGACCAGCAACAGCAGCAGCAACATGCAACGTGCAACAGCAGCGCATGTGGCCGTCTGGCAGTCAAAAGTATCAACCATTTCCATTTCCATATATCCATCGCTGTGTCCTTTTCCATTTTCCAACTGCATTTCCCAAAAACCAAGAAAAATTCTTCAACCGAAATTTTCAGCAAAAGAAACCGCATGTTTTGGCGCCAGTTTCTTACAAAAGAAAGGGTATTTTAAGGTATATGGGGATTTATGAAGAGGTTAAAAAATATAATATGGCTTTTTTTTAGTTTTTAAAAAAAAGGGATGAGTTTTTAAGGTTTTTAAATATTTTTAAGCAATTTTTTATTAAAATTTTAAATATATTTTTTTTTGGCTGGGTAACTAAAAAAAAGGGTTTAAATAAAATATAAAGTATAAAAAAGTATATATATTATACTATAATACATAATATATATATAATATATAGTTTTATTCATTAATAATTTAATTCTATAGGAGATCTTAGGTTATATATTTTTTTAAAAAGTATATTGGAATAGGGATTTTTAGAAATAAAAGCGGAAAAATATTTTTTTCTTTAAAAAGTTCCTCAATAATTTAATTTTTAAACAATAAAAGCTGCTATAAACCTTATAAAATTATATAGTTTACATAGGTATCTTATCTTTATATATAGATATATATCGTTTATATATAGATATCTAAACAGATACAATTTTAAAATAGATAGAGTATCTCCTAGTTCATCATATATTTGAAAAAAACCAAAACCAAATCAATAATGTCGTACCGAGCATCATAATGCTAGTACTCCCAAGATCCTCTAGCAACAGATCGGCAACGGAATATAAATATCTATAAATAGCCCCTGGGAAAAAACACTTTGCAGGCAGATACTTCCACAGCTACAGATACAGATACAGATACAGAGAGACAGCTACACAGATGCAGATACAAATGGGCTGTGCAGATACGGGTGTGTGTCATGGCATGCACTTGAACTCCGCATTCACATGTTGCATGTTGTGTGTGCCACACATCTGCCCTCTCGCTTCCACTATGCCGCGCATACAACACACTATATGTATGATGATTTAAAAATATATATATCTATATATTTTTTTTGGAGTTCAAGATGTTTAAAAGTGCACTTCAAGTGCGTTACAATTTGTGTCTATTTTTGGCAGCTTGGGAATATCTCTCGGAATAGAGTGTGGTAAGGAACTCGGGAGGGGATAGGAGTACGGAGTTTGGGTGTACTAGAGGATAAGGGATATGTATAGGGGGTATGGAAGGGGGTGTCAGGAAAAGTGCCCAGATAACGAGCCTTTTGTAATGTAAATCACTTGCAGGAAACCCTAAAAGAGAGCACATCGGGAATTTTTCGGGATATATATTCGAAAAACATGTTTAATGAGCAATTTTATAGACTCCAAGATCCATTGTACATGGAATTAGATACGCGGCTAGGCTATGGAAATTACTGATAAGAAGACAGTGGGATTAAGTGGGATATAATAATAATCTTAAACTTTAATCTATAAATTTTGTGCTTTGCAAGAACCTTCGCCACCAAGTACTATTAATGCTTTAAAGGTTTTTGGTTTCAATATATTTTAAAATATTAAAAACATGTTAAAAATAACTAAGTATAAAATTTAGAAAAAGAAAACCCTTAAAAGAATAAAAATAATGGTGATGAAAGCTCTTCCAACGCCTTAAAAATATCACATTACATTTAAGTAAAGAAAAATTTAAAAATCCCAAACAATAACTAAATACATCCTGGAATTTCTCGAGTAAGATATTAATTTTTTAAGCCTTTAAAATCTATTAAAAAACCCCTTTAAGTAAATAAAATACCTGTGACGAATTCTCTTGCAAAGCCAAAAATTTAAGTAACGAAAGAAGTCATCTTTATAAACAATTTCTACCTATTGTGAGTCTTTCTTTAATGCACTAATTTACTAAAGTCTAAAAATAAATATTTATTTTAAATCTCATTTAAAAAATTTACCCATATATCTGTAGTATTCGGCCCACTGTTCTCTGTAGCCCTAAAATCTCGGCTTTCAAGCATCAGATTTGCGCGTGTGCGACTACATTTTCTCCCCCAAACCACCACCGATCGTCCCTTGAAGCCACAAAATACTCCTAAGTGTGTCTGCTCTTGGATTTCAAAATTTTAAATATATTCATATATATATATATATACGAGTACTGTATATATTTGTGTACTTAGATAACCGACTAAAACGTCTGTTACAAATGTAATTTTGATATTTCATTCGAGCATAAAAATCGGGGATCGAAAAATGAAAAGGGAATGGAGAAGTCACTTGACTCGTCTCCCATATCTGTCGTTTTCCCCTTGGGGTGACAATTAGCTGTTTTTTTTTGGGAGACCCAGGCCTGGGAAAAAGATTTCCCATCGTTTCGAAAGGGGGTGTATACGTATAACAGCCTCGGGCCCTTCGGAAAGTGAAATGAAATGAACCGAACAAGTGCACTAACCATATCATGAATTCCATCGAGAATAATAAAACTTTCCCTTCTCTATTTGTAAGTTTTCAATAAAAATATATACATATATATATTTAATTCTTGGAAGTAGCTATCCAATTGGGTGCAAAATCCACTGATCTCTCGGTGGGGTCTCTTCTTATTTTTGTGGCGCAAAGCGCGCCAATTTCCATCATCCTGCTCCACATGATGGCAACCACCTCGTAAGATTTCCCACGCTTCCAGATGAAAATGAAGAAACCTGGGGGTGGATCGAAGGGTGGTCCTGAAAGGGGTTTAACAGTGGGGTGGGTGTGGAGTTGAAGATTCATAGGGGGGGATATTGGGGACAAGTTGTCAGCAGGCCTGTTAATGAGCTGCTTTGTTCGGTGGGGTTTTCAGATGGAAGATCGAGATTGAATTTTTATTACTCTGTCTATTAAGAATAAAATATATATTATTTTCAATATATAACGATCCAATTTCGAGTCTTGAGAATAGTAAGTTTTGGTTATAGTAACTTAAAATATGTTATTTTCTTTATATATCGATATTATTTTGATAATTAATACACATTCTTACATACTTTTTCTTGTTAACTTAACTTTCTTGTTAAAGTTAAAATACCTAACTTTTAACTTTATAGATGCATACATACCTTCTATATATTTTTCTTAAATATATATCATATTATTTTTTTTATTTCATCAATTAATCGATTTTAAAACGATAAATTAATATATAATGCATCATAATAAGCTAGAGTATTGCAAAAAAAAATACATAAATCTTAAGCCAAGAGCTAACCGCAACTGGATTGCGATGATCTGGGGGATTCAGAGCAAATATCTGTGGCGCACAGAACATGTGTTTGTGGCCCGCCCCCTTTTTATTTTTTCGAGTGTCATGTGTGGCGTTGAAGAGGCTGCCTGCCGCACTCGCCGATCGCGTGCAACAGCGTGGCAAATGGCATGGTAAGTGGCAGTGGCAACTAGTGGCACCAACCGTGGGAAATCCATGATTGCCGCAATCTCAAAGGGCTATCCATTGAGATATATTAGCTTCCTCCATGCACAGAAAAATCTAGTTAAAGACTAGTTATAATTAGACTTACTAATAGTTAGGAACACTTAGGAACCTACTTCTAAAACCCTTCTATTTCTCCCAGTGGACCCACACTGCCTTAGCAGAGATTACGCCAGTCCAGATCCCGGAGATCAAAAATCAGTAGCCTGAGACCGAGTGATAATAATGGGCATTACGTACATGGGCTTCGTATTGCTTGGAATTATCCAACCAGCTGACAGAAACGATTGGGTAACCGACTGTTCCCATCTTCCCCAGACTTCCCCAGACATTTTTCTTGATCTGGGGATCTAGTTCCAGTTATGGCCCCTTCCCCCTACTGCCCTTCTGGCTCGGCAGCTGAGAGCTTCCAGTGACCACCCTGGCGCTGAGATTTCTTTACCCCTTCCGGTGGCTCTACTCCTACTCCCCCCTTTGCCAAAGTAAACAAACTTTTCCTGCCAATTGGCGTTTTTTTCTGATTTTTTTCGCTGCACGCATGCGCCCTGACGTTGCCGGCGACGCTGACTGCAACTGCAACGCCAGAAATCTGAGATGATTTGTGAGAGAAACTGGGAAGCAGCTAAGGTATACCCATTAAAGGGGTTTAAGGTCTTAAGGAATGACATTAAAAACAAGAAAATAAATCGTTTTTTTAATAAAAAAAATATATTATAATATAAAATATATATAAAAACTAGAGCTTAAGAAATAATAACTAGGATATAACTATTATTAAAAATAGATATATTGAAATAAGTTAAATAAAAATGGCATGGTTCTGTTATAAGAACTATAGGTATTAAAAGGTTTAAAATAATAGGTCTATTTATCGAAAATCTAAATCCAATTTATATGGAAAACTCCTTCAAACCCATCTACCCTATTAAGAACCCAAACCCAGGGTATTAAAAAGCTGTTCCCTGTGCTCCAATCAACCCGTTTGGCAGTCACTGTGTCACTTCAGTTGCTGGCAAAACGGCATCCAAATTGGTGCAGCTCTCGAAATGTCGCCTCCCAAGAGCCAAGAGCAGGTCAAGAGTAGACCCTCCATATCCTCAACTGGATCGGGAGCCATGTCCAGGACGTATCAGTACAGGAAGGTGATGAAGCCGCTGTTGGAAAGGAAGCGTCGTGCCAGAATAAATCGCTGTTTAGAGCAGTTGAAGCTGCTGATCAGGGAGACGGCCTATATGGTGAGTGGAAGTGCCTTCGAAGTGAAAGTGAAAATAAAAGATACTCCAGGAATTCTTAAATAAAAATATTAAATCAATTTTAAGGATGCTGAGGCTTTGGCCAAGCTGGAAAAGGCCGACATCCTGGAGATGACTGTCCACCAATTGCAGGACAGACGTCGGCCGGTGACCACCGCTACCACCGCCCATTTCCAGCGTCTGGCCATGGAACGCTACTGGAATGGCTTCCGGCAGTGCGCCCTGGAGGTCTCACGATTCCTACAGCGTCATGATAGGCAACTGAATGAGAAGTTTCTGGAGGCCATGGAGCAGTATCTGCCCACCAGTCAGCCACATCCGTCCATCTGGCGTCCCTGGAAGTCTTGAGATTGGCCTTGTCTTGTGCATCGACCTTTAACCTCTACAAGTTCCTTACTTATTTTAGTTATTTTAGCTTAAAAAAAAATTCATTTAGTAAATAAAAGTTAATTTTTTTCTTTTAGTTTTTGTTTCTTTTCTTTTTTTTCTTTTCTTTTATTTTTATCGCAATAATTCCAAAAACTTGTTGGCTATGATTTGTTTTTTGTAGTGTAAGTGTGTTGGTTTCAGAATCAATTTAATTTTTTTTAATAAACTTTTTAATGCTAAATTAAGTATTGCTTATGTTGAATATAATGCACACAAAGTATTCTGTTTTTTTTAGAAGTATCATTAACGCTTACAAGATACCCAAAAAAATATTTTTATTATAATGTATATATATATATAATTTTTGTTTGTTGTTGTTTTGTGTATAAATATCAAGTAGAGTAGTTTTGCTTTCCAAAGATTATAGATGCTTGGTGTTTGTGTATTTGTGTTTCTTAAAAACTAAATTGTTTTTTTTTTTAAGATTCTCAAAACATTCCGGTTCTTATGTACAATATCTGTTCACAAATATCATCGGAGTTCGAGTGTAAGAAGCGCGAAAAATTGATTGTTGGCTGCATTTTAGTATTTTTTTTTGTTTTTTCACATCGACCTGTTGATTTGTATCTGTTGCATATATGTATAGGTATATATATATATATATATATATCATTTCATTATATTATTTAATAAATTTTTTTTTAGGCATGCAAACATGTGCAGGTGTACCTACATAAGTACGTGTGTGTGTTTTTTTTCCAACAATAATTAATTCTAGGCAAAAAACCATTGCAAATTTATTTAAATATTTCTCTCCCTATTCATAGGCCTATAACTGTGTGTACAACTAGAAATACATATAAATATTTCGGGTGCAGAAAGTAACTAAAAACTAAAGTGAAAAATAAGTAAAAGGGGGAAACCTTGGAATCGGAATCGGATTCGAAATTGGATATCTGTTTATATATTGGAAATTGTTTGGAATTTCGTTATGAATGAGTTTCAAGCACTTTTCTAGCAATTCCAATTTGAAACCTCAGCGGCAAAGCAACATGTTTTTGGTTTTTGTTTATAGGTTTTCCATTTCCAAAGCTTTCAAAGGCAAAAAAACTTTATTTATTTTCTTGATATTCACTTTATTAAATCGATTTTTTAGTTTTCTTCTACTAGGCAACATGATGAAAGATAATGGAGGGCAAAAAAAAAAAAATAGATTTAAGAACTATATCGGTTTACAAACATATTTTTAATTTCCTTTTTTTTTTAATCCTAAAGCTGAACCACATATAAAATATAGAAATTATTTTAGCATGGTGATTTAACCAAAAAGTTAATGTCAAAGATAGAGATAGAGATAGACAGAGAGAGAGTGGGATAAAGTGAGAGATAGAGATGGAGCGATAGCTGTTGAAGATAGTAGATGATATCGATGATTTAGGCGATAGTTTTGTTTTCATTCTTAAATCTTTTGGTTTTGATAAGGCATTAGTATTAAATATACGATATAGTTTCAAGCTCTGGTTTTTGTTTTTCATTTTTAAATAAAATATATAGAAATACAAAATTTGATATTGATTGAGTGCATTCCTTAATATGTTTTCTTTTCTTTATATATCTTTTTTTGAATGATTTTGAAATTGGAATGAAAATTGAAAATGATTTCAATGACACCGCAAAATCAGATTGATTGTCAAGCTTGATGAGAAATGATTTTTTGATGATTAATTTGATTTGTTTTAATTAATTAGTTAATTGATTGAAGACTTGCAAAGGATTTTTCATGCCACATGCTGGAAGCTTTTCATTTTTTTTTTTAGAAGTTTTCTAATTTTTTTTTTGGTTAATTTAATAAGCTAGAGAATAAATAGTGTGTGGGGGTGTGTGTTAGTTTTGAAATAGCTTTGGTTTTTAGTTTCGATTATCAACACTTTCGAATATCAACAGTTAGAGCCACAAAAATAAACTGTTTCTGTGAAAGCATTTTCGGAAGCCAATAGCATAGTATTTTTTTGCATATAAATATCGGTATCAGTATCGGTATATATCTTTATTTATTTATATATGTATAAGTATAGGTATCAGCATAAAGTTTAAATAGCTTTTTAAAAACGATTTTCTTTTTTTTTTAGTTGAAAAAAAATTAAATCCAATTGAATAACTATCGCACTATCGGCAGCAACTATCGATAGTGTTTTTTTCCCAAAGGGCTTGGCAAGCATTTCAATAAAAATGCCTCGAATGCCTAATATTTAATGCATATTTTTTCTATATTTGTTCTTCAAATACCTATATTTATTCATAATTTATGGTTTTTTTGTTTTTAAATTGGTGTTCAGTGTTTTTTTTGTTTGGTTTTGCTTTCTAATAATTTGTTTTTGGCTTTTGTTAATTGAAATATTATGTAAACATTTTTATTTTTAATTTTTCTATTAGTTGGAATTTCACTTTAAACTCTTCGAAGGGGTGGGTGGTTGTTTCTTTTGGGGGCTAACATAGGGTAGTGCCCTCCAAAATTAATTCTTTTTTTTCTTTGGGGGAAATGGCATTTTATAGTACATATGTGTGTGTTTTCGATTCGATTTCGAGGCGATTTTCAGGCCATTTTTTTTTTTTTTTTTGGAAGGTTTTTCAGTGGAATTCGTTGTCTCGTATCACTCGTCACTATCGCTCCTCCCTGCCCCCCATCGCACCCGCCCCTGTCCCTGTCCCTGTCCCTGACCCTTTCCTGGCTGACCCTGCTTTGGGGCAGGACTATAGGTCCTGCGGTTAATCACCACCTAAACTTAATGCCTGCACTATACGTGGATCAGCCTTACTGCCCTCGCGGAACTCCTCCAGGGTGAGGCGATCATCGTGATTCTTGTCCATCTGATCGAAGATCTTGTCCACTCTCTTCTGGGGCGTATTCTCGTCCTCCGTCTGAGGTTGCTGGCCCTTAAAATGTGTTTTTACTGTACTGTCTTAGTTGGTTTTTGGGGATTAGAGTACTTACCACCATTTGGTAGATGGCATCCACTATGTTGTACATCTCCTCGCGAGTAATATAGCCGTCGTTGTCCACATCGTAGAGTCGGAAGGCCCCTAAAAATTTTTGAAAATTATTTAAAATAATAATTATATATGATAACCGGTACTTTCTGCTTGAAATACAATTTTGTTGCATATTTAAGGGCACTTTTCTTAAGGATTTCCTGGTAATATTGTGATACCAGATACTTATACGTAAAAAAATTTTATTTCAAACTTTAGGGTTTATTTGTAAAGTTATTATTTAGTTTTAAAATAAAATTTTAAGCAAAACTCATTAATATATAAAACATACATATATAAAACAAAAATTTGTTTATACTTTAAGCTAACTTTTGAACTCCAAGCCTTAATTTAAAATAACCAACTCACAATGCAATTTCTCATCTAAGTTTCCGCGTGATGTAATGGAAAGTGCTCGGATAAACTCCTCGAATTCGATGGCTCCGTCCTGTTAAAATTATTAGGTAAAAGATTAAACCCTTGTATCGTTAAAAAATACTATTTAAAAACTCACATTGTTCTCGTCGAAGACGCGAAAGACCAACGAGGCAAACTTGCTGGGGTCTCCGTCGGGGAAGAATTGCTTATAGATTTTGATGAAGCCCTATTTTGGGGAAAGTCAAACAGAAGACAGCAGAGCGAAAGATAGAGAGGGGTAGAACGTGAGAAAGAGAAAAGGACATTGAAAGAAGCAAGGTTAATATTTTATGTTAACTTTTGACCTGGCTGGGTGGCTTTTTTCATTTAAAGTTTCGAGTAAGCAAGTCAGAACTAGACACATAAAATAGCATTAGAGTGAAAATTTGCGAAAATTTCTGCTGGTAAGTGAAATAAACGACTTGAGAGGGTGAGAGGGTGTTCTGGATACTGTTCTGGATTTTAAATTAAAATTTATGATTTTCTTGACTGGTATTTTTGGTAGTTTACATCTCCAACAACATTGAAATTGTCAAAATCGATGAATGTATGGATTACCTTTTGAAGCATTTTATTTCCCCTTTTTTTTATTTTGCGGTCATATATGTACAAGTTATTTTATTCAATCCACAAAAGTCAGTAGTAAGGTAGAGAGAAAAAGTACGTAGACCACATTTTTGTGGATTTCATGATGGCTTAAATATATATAAATATAGTATGTATGTAAGGTGGAAACAGTTTTGTGAAAATGAGCCACAATAAGAGGATTCCGTGTGCGGTTAGTCATGATAAAAGCCAGGAATGAAAATGTTCATGATGATGATGATGCAGGTTTTTGGTATAAATCTGATTTTCGTATACACTTGCAGACAAAAAAATGTTTAAATATGTTTGAAAATGTCCGTTTGTTGGTATTTTTTATGGTTTTAGTTAAGGATGCTTTTTTTTAAAGCTAGGGAGCTGAAACTTTGTATATGGCTACTTTTGGGATAATTATAATTGTATATGGCTAATTTTATATCAGACAATTAAAAACTATAGATTTCTTAAAATTTTTAATAAGAAAAGGCATCATTTTTGGTATTTTTTTGGATATAGAAGCTGAAAACTTTTTATATCTTTTATATAAACTTTGATTATGCATGAAACTCTTAATTATCTTTTTGGATTTAAGTAATTTAAGATCAGAAAACTGTATTCTATAACTTTATTGTAATATTTTAAAGAAAACGACCTAATTTTGGTGTTTTTTTTGGATATAGATCCTGAAAACTTTTTATAACTTCTATAGAAACTTTGAAAATGCCTGAAAGTCTTAAATATCGTTTTAGATTTTAAAATTTTTGGTATTATTTAGTATATTATTTAATTGTATTATAATATTTTACAGAAAAAGCCCTAATATTAATATTTTTTTTATATTGATGCTGAAAACTTTTTATAACTTCTATAGAAGCTTTGAAAATGTCTGAAAGTCTTAAATATCGTTTTAGATTTTAATATTTTTGGTATTATTTAGTATATTATTTAACTTTATTATAATATTTTATAGAAAAAAGCCCTAATTTTGGTATTTTTCTGGTAATATAAGCTTTAACATTTTTATCAATTATCTGCAAGTGTATACAAACTTCGGTTATGCCCGAATTTATACAACTTCCTTGTGAATTTTAGTATTTTTTGTTATTGTTGGTTTTTTTTAAATACTCACTTGTTCGGTCAGCAAACCATTGGGACAGTCTTTGAGAAAGCCTTTGTGCCTTTTTTTGTTCGATGTGATGTCGATGTCGATAGGATGTCAGAGGATAGCGGATAGCACACAGAGTTCAAAGTTCACGGAAAGTGTGTGGATAGTGGATAACATAGATAATCGAGGGGTCAAGTTTCAAGAGAAAGAAAGAGAGATAGAGAGATATATGTATATATAAAATAGATAGAGAGCGAGAAACAGCAAACACGATAAAAAACAATAATAATCATAATAATAATAATAAATGACAATAATAATAATGAGGATTTTAATTAAAAACCAATAACTGCCGGCAACCGTCATACAACGAAAATGAAACACAAATATTTGGCATTCTGGGGCGGAAAAATAAACGCACTCTTTCACACACGCAGCTTAAATTATATTTACATTTCTTTGTTTTTTTTTTACTCTTTAATTAATTATAGTCTCTTTTACACACACACACACTTGCCATAAAAAAAATAATAAGAAATAAATAAAAAAATATAAACAAATGATTGAAAAAAATTGCTTACCATTGACGGATTTCCTTTTCGGTAACTGCAAGATAGAAAAAAACATTACAGATTAGTTGAGAGAGCAATTGCAGAGGGGAACCAATAAAAAAAAAAGGACTAAGGACTAGGCATTGAAGGACTCGGGTCTAAGCACTAAGCACTGGCACTTAGTTGCGCCTCAAGGGTCCCTGCGGCTATCATTCTTAATATCAACAACTCAGACTCAGACCCCTCGGCTTGAGGCCCCTCTCTCAATTGACCCTAAAGGAGGGGGTATGGGGGCCTACGGTATCAAGTGCCTTTCTACTGAGCCGCTGAGTTATGGCGGCTTAAGTTCCACCACTGTCGGCTTGACTGCCCTTGGAGATTGATGGCGTTCACTTGACAGGCTTTAGCGGACTATATAGTAACCCAACCGTAAGCCCCCCGGTCTCCGAGCCTCTGGCATCTTCAGTTTTGCTGATGCCACTGATATCGCACCACACTGCGTATGAGTGATATTCAAACGTTGAACAATTTACGAGCAAGAACTTTGCATTTAATTAATTACGAATAGCGTTTATGGTCAGGTGGCAGGAAAATGCAAAATGCAAGTAAAGGCATTAACTTTTCATTGTCTGTTTGGTTCGAAACCTTATAGCCACAAATAGAACTCTTACTAATATGAGAAACCCAAACAAACACCTCCACAATTTGGCTTAAAGTACAACCGTAATTGAGTCCAGAAATGAGAAATGATTGTATATAATTCTCAGCTTTTAATGTAATTCCAGGTAACGTATCCAAGCCTCTGGTCTGTGGCTTCAATTACTTCTATTTCTGTTGTCAGTTTTTTGTCTATTTTTTGTCCATACCATACTTGTACACAATAGTAGTGGAATTTCAGACGCGTGCATAAGCTGGAAAAGCACTTTTGAAAATGAAAATGAAAAATAAAAAAAAAACAAATAAAAACAAAAACAAGACAAAATGCCTGGGCGATGATAGACATGGCCAGACCAGTGCTTGAGTTTTTTTTTTCTCCTTTTTTTTATTATTAGTATAATTTGGTCCTGTTTTGTGTTGGTTTGAGGAGGGACACGCTAACCTTTCTGGCACCCCGAGGACCCCCAAACCACCTAAATTAAACTTTAGCTGGATGGCACACGCAATTGAAATTGGCCTCTGTTGGGTGTATATATGTATATATGTATATTTATGCTGCACGTGTGTTTTGGGGGAGAAAATAAAGATAATTTTCGGTTCTAGGCGAAGTTTTTATATCCTTTTCAAGGTGGTATTTCAAGGAGTTATGGTTAAAGATTAAGATTTATTGCATTTTTTATTTGAATTTGATAGGCTATAGTAAACAAAACCATATTAGACCTCTTAACTGTATTCTATAGAGAAACTTGTCTCGCTTAGCACTTTTTATAAAAAAAACACTTAAATTTTGTTAAATTTTGATGATATTTGTTGGAAGATATATTTTATTTTTTTTCTATAAGACCTTTTAACTTTATAAAATTAATACCAAAAAAAACATCGTTAAACGGACAAAAGCTAATTATTTTATTCAGATTGGTCTCACTATTTAAAAAAAAGAAGAATATCAGTCATATTAGTATTAACAATCTTATAAAAAATAGCATACACAGGTAAAATAGGTAATAGGTATAAAAGTAGGTAAAATAGGTAAAACAGGGGAAAAAGAGAAAACAATTGTCTTGGGACCCTCCAAATTAAAATGCCGCAATTTTCTTGACTCTGGTCACACCATTTATTTTTTCAAAAAAAAGAATTCCATCTACATTATAACTATAAATATAATCTTACTTTTTAAATAATCATTTAATCCTTAAAAAGGTTATCAAAACAATAAGAAAAATATCAGATACTCAAGATCTCTGGACCTTCCATTCAAAAAGCCACAATCTAAGTATCTTCGGTCACACTATTTCTAAAAAAAAGTTTTAAAGTTTTAAAGTTTTCAGTTTTAAACTCCGTCTAAATAATATAACCCCCAGGAAGAGTATAAGAGAAAAAAATAAGCAGACAACACTGCCCCAGGACCTTCCACTTCACATTTCGAACCGGCATTTCCCCAAACAGGCTTTTAAAAGTCTGGGCACGCCAGAGCGTCGGCTAAGTAAGCTCCAAGGAGCGTTATCCTTGTCGATGTCGGCCGACGACTTTTACTGCGGCCACATGAATAATACATAGTGGGTGGGTACCCTCAACGCCTCCGCCCACGACCTACCATGCGTGGCCGCCCGCAGCTGTAAAGCAAATTAGTTCATAGCCCGCCCGCCAGAGTGCGCTACTTATGTATGCCAGGGGACAGAGTAGAGACGGGCCTATGGTCGCTGCTGTTTATACACTTTTTAGGGTTTAATATTTAAAAATAGGATTATATAAATCCTTTAACCTTAAATAGGTTAGTGAATAATCTCAAACATTTTCTTAAACTTTTGTGAGTGATGGAATATATATATAATCTAGGCTATTAGCGTCCTATTAAGCGGGGCCATACTGTACCCAATATAATTACGAAACTCTGCAATGGCAATACAAACCTATCTCGGATCGAAATCGAAAACAAAAAAAATTTTAATCGTAAATGTGCCTTTTGGCGAAAAATAATTTCGATTTAAATGTTTTTGTTTGCAAAAGAGACGGTGGCGGTGGCACTTTTTCTGTTCGCTTTTTCCTCAAAAAGTTGTTTGTGGCCCGCAGCGTTTATTTATTTATTTTTTTTTTGTTGCACAAAAAAAAGAGGCCAAAATGCTTCCGACTTGTTTATTTAATTTAATTTTTAAACTGATTTAATTTCAACTTTTTGCACACACGCAATTAAATGGGGGAAAACGAGGAGAAAGGGGGCATGAGTGGGTGGGTGACACAGCAAGGACCTCCTGCTGGGTGTGGCCACATGCTAATTAATGAAAGGCTGCCAAAGGCTTCCCCATACCCCGCCCCTTGGGTGAAAACTGAAACGAACTTTAAATGAGCTGCGAGTTGCATGCGGGCTTTTTTAAAAAAAAAAGGATGAGAAGGCGGGAAAATGCGTGTTTTTTGGTGGGTGGTGGGGCATGAAACAACCTTGCAACAAGCTCCGCAAGGATGTGGCTCAAATATTTACAAAACTTGATTAGATCCCAGGCGGGGCAACAAGTGACCTCGGCTTAACCCTGAAGCACTCACCCTCTTAGAGAGAGGGGTGAGAACACCCCCCAAAAACATCGCATGTCTGCGGTTAACCCCTTGCTGGCCTTGCACGCAACTTCTCCCACTTCCACCTCACACACACGAGACCCACTTGGCCCAGTTAGTGGCGTGGAATTGCAGCGCAACCTGGCCCAGATCCTATCTGAAATTAGTTATCCCTCGGCACTAATTAAACCCAATCAGGCCTGGGCCGAAAATTCATTTTCGGAATAAAAGATAAATGCTTTTTCCATTTAATAAACAACAAAAAAACAAAAATAATAACAAAGATAATATATATAAACAAATTATGAAAATATAACCCCTGGCGAAAGCTATACCCTTGAATATTCACATCCGATTTTACTTAAGAACCTTGGGTTTATACCTAGCCATTTTTCCAGGGTTACATCTTAAAGCAGCCTTTCATATTGCAACCCTAAAAATAATCGATAGCTGAAGTATCAGCCTATCGCCTGCTATCGAGACTAGTAGGCCCTGATAGAGGCTCCAAAAAGAGTATAAAAGGCGAATTTCCTTCATTCCAAATCATTAGTCAACGGACCTCCAAACCGTTCACTTCTCGCTTTTTATTTTATTTTATTTTTTTATTTTTCTTGAATCTCATTTAATTTATTTTTTTATTTTTTATTTAATACTTTGGACTCTTGGTGTATCATTGTAGTCTATTGGAATCCCATTTTCGTTGAATCTCACATTTTGGCTCCTTTTTGTTTTTGATTTTGATTTTTATAAAAAGTTTTTTTTAAATCACATCACCTGCAATCTGAGTCTTCAAGCGTCTTCGTTTCTGGGGAAAATATTCTCATTTAATTTGTATTTTTTTATTCTTTTATTTTATTTTATTATTCAGTTATTTATTTTATTTATTTAATTCGTTGGACTGTTTTGTGAAACAGATTGAAGTACTCGACTCGACTCGAACCTCTCTATATCCTGCTTTGTGGCTCATATATTTATCTCAGTTTTTTTATTTTATCAAAAAATGGCTCCTGCAATTATCTCCAACGAGTTCATGGGTCTTCTTTTCTTATTTAATTTAATTTTTTAATTTTTTTTATTATTTATGATGTTGTTTTATTTTTATTATCCTTGGGTTTTCCATATTTCCGTCTCAACCCTAAAAATAATCGATAGCTGAAGTATCAGCCTATCGCCTGCTATCGAGACTAGTAGGCCCTGATAGAGGCTCCAAAAAGAGTATAAAAGGCGAATTTCCTTCATTCCAAATCATTAGTCAACGGACCTCCAAACCGTTCACTTCTCGCTTTTTATTTTATTTTATTTTTTTATTTTTCTTGAATCTCATTTAATTTATTTTTTTTATTTTTATTTAATACTTTGGACTCTTGGTGTATCATTGTAGTCTATTGGAATCCCATTTTCGTTGAATCTCACATTTTGGCTCCTTTTTGTTTTTGATTTTGATTTTTATAAAAGTTTTTTTTAAATCACATCACCTGCAATCTGAGTCTTCAAGCGTCTTCGTTTCTGGGGAAAATATTCTCATTTAATTTGTATTTTTTATTCTTTTATTTTATTTTATTATTCAGTTATTTATTTTATTTATTTAATTCGTTGGACTGTTTTGTGAAACAGATTGAAGTACTCGACTCGACTCGAACCTCTCTATATCCTGCTTTGTGGCTCATATTTTTATCTCGGTTTTTTTATTTTATCAAAAAATGGCTCCTGCAATTATCTCCAACGAGTTCATGGGTCTTCTTTTCTTATTTAATTTAATTTTTTAATTTTTTTTATTATTTATGATGTTGTTTTATTTTTATTATCCTTGGGTTTTCCATATCCATCACTGCCTTTCTTTATCTGTATTTC